CCCCCCGAGTCTTTCATCTGTCTGTAGTTTCTGATTGGGGGCCTGTCTGCTGTCTGTATGCCGTGCTTACGATGTGTCACAGTCCCTGACAAAGGGCTTTGCTCTGGCCGGGCAGTGGTGGCACACACCTTTAATCCCATCACTCAGGAGGCAGAGCCAGGCGGATCTCTGTGAGTTCGAGGCCAGCCTGGGCTACAGAGCGAGATCCAGGACAGGCACCAAAACTACACAGAGAAACCCTGTCTCGAAAAACGCAAAAAAAGGGGTCGGGGCTTTGCTCTGTATTTATTTAATAGCATGGAAAACATGGTATGGGAAAGGAATGAGGAATTCTTCTCTACAAAAATCTTTAACCGAGTTTTGCAAGGGGAGAAGTTACTTTACTGACCCAAACTGACCCTTCAGAGCGTTTAAAACTGCAGAGATGTTATCAACCTAACAGCCACATGCTGCTTCCCACATTTATGGGATATTTGTCATGTAAGGTTGCTTTTAACCTCTTAGCTGCTTTCAGCATGGTTCCCACAATATACATACGTACATTATCCTTGGTCAGGGGCATGGACACATACATACTTTAATATTAAAGCTATGCATTTAGCTTGGCTAGTAAAAGCTGATTGCTTGGGAAATCCAGGGCAGAGTAAATTTAAGAAAATGGGTTAGTTGGCAGATACCATGTTGGTAAAGTTGCCATATTACCAAAAATGATGTACAGATTCAATGCCATCTGCACCAAAATTTTGGTGACATCATTCACGAAACTAAAAAGAACTATTTATAGTTCTTTTTTTGTGCTTCCAGATGGAAGCACAAATGATACCAAATAATCCTAATATCAATCCTGGCTAAGCAAGAGCAGTCACAACCCCTAAATTCAAATTACCCTACAGATTCACTGCGGCGACAAAAAACGGCCTGTGGGCACCCAGTGGGGGAGAGAGGGGAGGAGGCAAGATGGAGGAGGGGAGAGAAACAGACAGAGACAGAGCGAAAAACAGGAGAGGAGAGAGGAAGGGCAGAGAGAGACGCGATGAAACAGAACAGAGGACCCAGGAAATAAGACCAAAAAATACGGCTCTTTCTCGACAAAAGTGCCAAGATACATAAATGGAGAAATGAAGCTCCTTCATTCACCACGTGGTGCTTGACCAGCTGAGTATCTACACGTACAGGACTCAAACTAGGTAGAAAGACCGAAACTCCAAATGGCTAAACTATGACCTGAAACACTGTGACTGCTGCAGGCAAACAGGAATTACACCTCAAGATGCGGACCTAGATAGGCAGACAAAGACCTTTCCAAGATGATCTCAGTGAGGCCGGGGAAAAAAGGAATGGCAGATGGCGTTTCATCCAGCTGGAAAGCTGGATGCAGCAAAGAAAACAATTATCAGAGATGGGACATAAGTTGGCGTCGTGGATGATGAGTATAACCCAGTGTTGAGAGACAGAGGGAAGATTGAGGAAAGTTTGAAGCCAGTCTATGACACCCAGACTCAAAAACAAAGCAAAATCAAATGAAAGAACAAATAACCACGGGAACAGATGTGGCGAAGTGGGAGGAGCAAACCGTTAGGAAAAACTTTCCTTAGGTTTAAAAATGGAGATAAAATAGAATGTAATAAAATCCCATGGAACAGAAAATCTGAATGTTTTTTTTTATATTTTGTAAGATTCATCAGGACTGGCCGGGCAGTGGTGACGCACGCCTTTAATCCCAGCACTCGAGAGGCAGAGGCAGGCAGATTTCCATGACTTCAAGGCCAGCCTGGGCTACAGAGTGAGTTCCAGGAAAGGTGTATTCTACACAGAGAAACCCTGCCTCGAATAAAATAATAATAATAAAAAAAGGATTCATCAGGACAAAAATTTAAACCTTTGTATCCACAGGCTTCTGGTAAGGAGTCTTCTGAACATTTGGGTGGAAAAAAAATGTGTTACACAAATTATTTCATAGAACAGAAAAAAAGTAGATAAGTTTCTAGCTCACTTTGTGAAGCTAACAGAAGCTGATACAAACCTACTAAGATGTACAGTAGAAGAGAGCCAAACTGTGAAGCACAGTCTCTCCTGAAAACAGAAACAAATATCGATTTTAAAAAGTTATTATGTGTGTGTGTGTTTGTGTGTGTGTGTGTGTGTGTGTGTGTGTGTGTGTGTGTGTGTACATACGCCATGGTGCAAATGTGAAGGTCAGAGGACAGCTTCTGGGTTCCATCACATGGGTACCAGAGATTGAAATGACATCATCATGCTCGGCAGCAAGCACCTTTACTTCCTGAACTATCTTGTGGGCCCGGAGACAAACATCTTAAATAAAGATTATCAAACAAAAACCAAAGGTGGGTGGAAGCCATGCCGCACGTCACCGTACAGTTCAATGCAGAAAGGCAAGGCTGCTGCTTTAACTTCAATCAACTTTAAGCTCGGGACAGGGTCAGGGAAATAGCAGGTCATTTTAAGTTCAAATCCTCTTCGTGACTTGAAAGGATCAGCAACTGAGAGCACAAAACCAGTGCCGAACCCCACTGAAGTGTTTCTACAGAAGACAAAATAGCCGTGTTCTCTCGTTTGCCAATCTGGATTGAGCGCTATGGACACCCAACAGGAAGCAGCACCAGGCCTGTGTGGGTGGAGGAAGTGCAGTAGCAGAGGGGGAGAGAGGGAGAGGGGAGGGGATGGCCAGGCGAACTTGAGCACAGTGCCATGACACGTGAGGAGGAGACCTTGAGGACACCCGTTGTTATGATGCAAACCAACCTAACAATTAATAAATAATAAAGTGTAGGCAGGGTGTGGTGGTGCCTGCCTTTAATCCCAATGCTCAGGGACCTCTATGAGTTTGAGGCCAGCCTGATTATTATAGTGGGTTCCAGCTAGGGACATAGCTCAGTGGAGGAGCGTTTGCCTAGCATGCAAGAGGTCCTGGGTTCAATCCCCAGCCCAACAAACAAACCCATAAATACATAAATGCCATTATAGTGGGTTCCAGGACAACCAGGACTACATAGAGAGATTATCTCAAAACTCTCCTTGCCTGGAAAAAAAAACAACAACAACCAACCAAATAAATAAATAATACAGCATGTCTACAAAATAAACAAACAAACAAACAAAAGCCCCTACTCCACCACAATGTCAAAATTCACTTAAAAATAGCAAGCATTTTTTCCCTAAATTCTTCACACAAGCCAAGGATGAATGAACACTCTACCCAACAAAATGTTAGACATCTTGATACTATGGCAGACCAGGGAACTGTGAAAACAAGAAGGCAGGAAAGGAACAAGTGAAAATGTCATGATTACGGGTGACATTTCTATATATAGAGAGCATTTAAAATGATCTAAAACTGGGGCCGGAGAGATGGATCAGCGGTTAGAGCACTGCTCTTGCGGAGGGCCTAAGTTTGATCCCAGCACCCACCCACAAGGCAGCTCACAATTGTCTGTAACTCCAGTTCCAAGGGATCCTACAATCATCACACAGACATACTTGCAGACAAAACAAAAACAAAAACACCAGAGCACATAAAGGAAATAAACCCTCAAAAAAGAAATCAGTTTTTAAAAATGATGTAAAAGCAGGGGCTGAAGAGATGGCTCAGCAGGAAAGAGTATCTCCTTCTCTTCCAACACCTCCATTAGAGTATACTCCAGAGAGTATAAACCACATTTAAAGAATTTGGAGACTGCAATAAATGGAAAGGAACTACGGTATGTCTATGGGTTGAATGTCTTGTTATTAAAACTCAACAGCATAGCTAGGTGTGGTACTGCATACCTCAGAGGCAGCTGGATCTCCCAGAACTCAGGGCTAGCTGTTTCTACAAATGAGTTCCAGGTTACCAAGGTTACACAGTGAATTCCTCTCTTAAAAACAAACAACAACAAAAAACCACCTTCTTAGCATTTCCTCCCAGAAGTATGATAATGGCGTTCAAAATCATGCTATGTTAATTTGTCTAGAAAAAGGGCAACCTGAGACTAAAATGAGTATCGATATGAAGTCTAGGCTATCTAAACAGTCTTCAAGGAAAACCACTGGATCAGAAAACACACTACCACATTGGGGTTTCAGTATTCGAAGCAAGAATAAAGAAACAGCCGTGGGAAAGGACAGCGAGTCTGGGAACAAGCATGGCAAGCAAATCTTTTGATGGTACTGGGGTCCGCAAATGACTGCAGAAAAGGTAATCCATTTCACTGAGACAAGGAAAGATTAGGCCTTGAGCCTACTTCATGGGGGTTGTGAAATAACGCCTATGATATTATGGATATTTGTGGAGTTAGGGTAAAGATTGCTTTATGTTTAAAAATATTACGTGTGTGTGTGTGTGTGTGTGTGTGTGTGTGTGTGTGTGTGTGTGTGTGAATGAGAGACAGACAGACAGACAGACAGAGGAGTCAGAGACAGAGACAGAGACAGTCAGAGAGGCACTGGGTGCTTGTGTGCCATGGTATGCTTGTGGACATCAGAGAACGAACTGAGTCTAGAAGTACTTAATTGAGGTTAGATTTAGGGTACTTAATGGAGGTTCTCACTGGATCTTCTCCCCAGCCGTCTGTTTTTAGAGTACTGAGGACTGAACCTTGATCATTAATCGTGTTAGCAAAACCCACACCCTGAGCCACACCCCTAGTAGTGTAAGGGTACAAGAATCACTGAAGGAAGACCCCAGACTCTAATAGTATGTCGGGGACAAAGAGCATTTATTCCAGCATGTGGGGCCACCACTGTACAAAATGGTGACCCCGAAAGGAGCACACAGGCCCCTTTTAAGCTCTGCTAGGGGAATTCTAGGAACAGTTAGGTCACCTCAAATACAGTTGGTTAAGCAGGCTGTAGCTGCATTAGAACAATTTTAATTGGTTCTGGTTATAATTTTACCGGTTTGGGCATACTTGGGCAAGGCAGGGTATTTTTTAGGGAGATGACAGGAACTGTCTTTTTGGTCACTGCCTTGAGGTACTGTGGGGCTGGCTCAGGCCTAGTACATGCTATCTCCCTCGTTGTCCTTTTAGGAAACTGAAACTCAGGCCCAGCTGTAAAATGGGGAAAGTTCAGACCTTTCAGTACTTCTTGCATTTATTGTTTTTGATCTGCAACAGGCCTCACTAGGCTGGCATGAATTTGCTAGGTAGCCCAGGTGGACCTTGAACTTGCAATCCTCCTGCCTCCCTTCCCAGTTCGGATTATAATCTTACACAGACATGTCCATACAAATGTGAAGGACAAGGAGGTCTTGAGGTGTCCTGTACTATTCCCTTCCTCCATCCTCCATTCCTTTTCTCTTTCCCTCCTCAAGTCTGCCTTCTCCCCTCCCCCTTCCGCTGCACCCCCCTGCCCACCTCCTTTCCCTTATAGTCTCACGTCTCCCCGCTTCCTTCTGCTCCCAATCCTTGTAGCTTTGGGGTTACAGGCACCTGCAGAACTCAGGTCCTGTATCCCCCTTATCCCTCCACCCCCATACAGTCATCCTCCCGTCTCCACTATACAAGTAACCCAGACACATAAGCAGAGGTGAGAAAAGCACTCAGATGTCCTGTGTTCTGTCCCCTCTCGTCTCTTCCCGACCCAAGCCAGAGTCTGGCTGAGCTGGACAACCCAAGGAAAAGTTTTGTGCATTTGCCTCTGGATAGCTGAGGAAAGTCCCTAAGGATTCATGGTTGGCTGGGCCTGGGAAGGCTTAATCAAGGAAGAACCTGACTTTGGTGTAGATACTTAAACTTGAAGGTGTCTCTTCACAGCAACTGGAATCCCAAAACAGACCTCCACATGAATGCCATGGCATATATATTATTTTAAATACTTATTTTTTATTTTAATTTATGTTTAGGTGTTGTCTTAGTCAGTATTCTATTGCTATGAAAAGACCCTTGCCGTGACCAAGGCAACTCTTATAAGAGAAAGGAATTGGGGCTGGCTTACAGGTTCAGAGGCTTAGTGCATTGTCCTCACGGCAAGGGAACATGGTGGCAGGTGACATACAGGCCGAGAGCCACAGTCTGATTCATAGGCAGAGAGAGAGAAGGAGGTGGTGGGGGAGGAGAGGAAGAAGAGAAGAAGAAGAGAGAGAGAGAAAGACTGATCAGGCCTGGCATGGGCTTTGGAAACATCAAAGCCCACCCCTAGACACACTGTCTCCAACAAGGCCACACCTAATAGTTTCACTCAAATAGTTTCACTCCCTGCTGACTAAGCATTCAGATATATGAGTCTGTGGGGGCCATTCTTATCAAACCATCACAGGGTTTTTTCTCTTCTTTCTTTCTTTCTTTCTCTCTTTCTTTCTTTCTCTCTCTCTCTCTCTCTCTCTCTCTCTCTCT